TGTGTGTGTGTGTGTGTGTGTGTGTGTGTGTGTGTGTTTCGTTTACAGCGCTGTATGTTCAGTAATCTCACTACAGCTGGTACGAAAGTATTTCTACAACTGTCTGATTTTGTTTTCTTGGAAATAACTCCTTTACTCGTTGTCGATTAGCGAAATTCTGTTTTTAATTGGCCTATGGTTGCTTAGCATTATTGGTTCCTTGTTTAGAACGTTTGTTCAATACAAAGATTAAAGTAATCTTGAACTCAGTGCTAATTGATGCCCTCCCGATCAACTTGCTTATCTTTAGAATGTTACATCACCGTATAATAATATAATCCTGTGTCCTGGATAAAACACCTGTACACGTACAGTTTACAGCCTTGTCTTGAATTGGTAAGCATTGACATCAGTATTTTGCAATCATGACATTTTATAATTTTTTTTTTCTCAAAAGACAGCCTTTTACATTTGGTGTAGTGCACCAAGAAACCACGTTATTGTGTGTTCTATACAACTCTCATACATATTATCTACCGACAGGATGACTTACCCCCCCCCCAAAATAAAAACAAATAAACAACAAAACAAAACAAACCCGTCTCTCTCTCTCTCTCTCTCTCTCTCTCTCTCTCTCTCTCTCTCTCTTTCTCTCTCTCCTTCCCTCTCCTTTTCTGTCTCCCTCACTCTCTTTCTCTCCATCTCTTTTTCTCTCCACATTGTTCATTAGTGTAAAGCATTTGTAAACAATCCCATTTCCATCGTGACGGAGATTTATAGTAAAGGGTGAACAAAAAAAAACACACAACAAAAACAACAACAACTGGGCAACTTTTTTTCTTAATATCAAGAACAAAAAATTGTTCTAGAATGCTGTAACTTGGAGCAAACATAATTCATTTGAAAGGAATGTGTTTGATATAAAAATCCACGAAGAAGAAACTTTTTTTGAAAACGGAAATGGCGTAATAGAAAAAAACACCCAAAACGCAGTCCACCAATTTTTTTGTTGAAATCTTGTAAAGGAAGTCATGAAACAAATGGTTGCCTTTTTTCTTTATTTTCTCTTTATATTTAATTTTCCATCCCTGTGACATTTAAACAGTATTTAATTTCATTTACAAAGTTTTAAAAAACGAAAGATTTCATCCTAAAATTCTTTACTCCTTTTAACGCGTTGCTCGAAATGTTCCATGGAGCCCAAACACAAGAACCTGTTAAACCATGAGTGTTTAAAGCCGCATACACTGTACATATTCAGTATGAAGTGGCTTTTAGAGACAACAGGGAGTGATGTGTCCAATAGACAGCATTTTTTAAAGTTAACATATGCCGCAGGGTGAAAGTGGGCTTTACACTAAACAAAATGTCTTCGAGGAAATGAATCCGCTTTTAACAAAAATCGAGGAATCATGAACACATTGTAATGCTCTGATCCATGTCATCTCGGCTTAGCGAAGATAAAAATGGTACAGTCGTAGGTTGAGAACTGCCATTAGAATACAGACTGTTGAGGGGTAGAAAACTCCTAGCCGCAGATTGTCTACGTACAGACGTCTCATAGGACTCGACTACTAAAATGTGCACCCTGACGTGACGTTTAAAGGGCTGTGTGTGGTGTGTGTTCGACCTGAACAGGTCATTAAAAAAAAGACATGGTAAGTTCTGATTCGCTATCGATCCCAACTGACATAACTTCCTTACCCATAGCGCCAAAGGTCTTAAGGGCACCTTAGCATTCTGTCCATGCCGTGTGCAGAACTTACGAAATGTCAAGGATGGTGAATTTGAGGAGAGGTAATGTTCCATACAAAACGCTCTCTGCTCTTCACTGAACTTAACCATAATCTCAGCAGGCAAACAAAATTTGGGAAAAATAAGATCTGCAGACTTCTATTGACAAGCTAGACTCCTGTAGCTTACAATATGACACAATTGTTGCAACTTTTAATGGTAGGCCTAAATGCGAACTGGTGCGTTTGGCTATTAAAATGGCGACAAGGTAAAAAATTGATTGTTTTTTACATGCACCGCATATAGCAAAACCATTCAATGGACGTATCTAAAATGAATATCAGACAAATTGCTTTTGGATTCCAAATGCTATGTTCAAATCTGAAATGCAAAACTTCAGTATATAGGAAGATATTTACAAAACAAGTTGTACAGTTTTTTGGGGGATCACCCTGTATTTTAAACAGAATTATGAAGGAAAAAAAAATCTAGCCCCATTTGTTGTGGGAACATATGAGTAAGTCAAGACAAATTGACACAAACTGCAGTGCAAAGTATGGGGGTCATTGATTCTCCTCTTGAAGAGATGTTTGAGGATAAGTTGCGCCATGAATTTTTGACCGCACTATAGTTGTAAAAACGCCAGAAGAACATTTAAATGAATTGTCACAGCACCGGTAGCTGATCTGAGGTAGAAAACATGCAATGTGCAGTTGGGAGAACTGTATGACCTTTTCAATTGAGAAAATCGAAACTTTTGGGGTTTTGATCTTGTATTTGGATTTGATACATTATTTGTATGTATTAGCACACAAACAAACACACACACACACACACACACACACA